TTCTCTGCTCCCCCGGCCCAGCCCCCCACGGCCCCCCGCCTCTCGCTCTCCCTCTGCTCCCTCCTACCAGGCCGCCTCATCTTTGATAACCTCAAGAAATCCATCGCCTACACGCTGACCAGTAACATCCCCGAGATCACCCCCTTCCTGCTCTTCATCATCATCAACATCCCGCTGCCCCTGGGCACCGTCACCATCCTCTGCATCGACCTGGGCACCGACATGGTGAGTGGGCGCTGCCCGGCGGGGGAAGGGAGCCGGGGTGTGATAGAATCAGAGGAGTGTGAAATAGGAAACGGGGGAAGGGCAAATGGGAGCGGCAGGCAGGCACAGTGCTCCAGGCAGAGGGTGATCCCAAGAGGAGCTGCTGTGCCCATTCCCTTAACCGTGGCCTTGTGGCAGTACGTAGACCCACAGCTGAGCCCTGAGGGTGCCCCTTCACCTGCCCACAGATGGGGGATCTCTGTCTCTCGTGGGTACCAGGGCAAGGCAGGTGCAGGAGTCTGCCAAGTCCGCAGGTGTCCCATGGCTGTTCAGGGGATTAGGCCCTGCAGACACTGAGACCAATGGCTCCTTCTCCTGGCCCAGAGAGAAATACAGTGAGGCTTCAAACCTGGCTTCATTTGCACGGGGTTCCAGGCTCTGCCCCCCCCCCTCAGCCTCACTCCCTACGTGCCAAGGCCGCTGTGCTGGTAGGGGGTAGTTGGAGCTGGAAGCACCAATCCCAGACTGGCAGCCCTATGGTTTGTGCCCAGTGCCACCAGAATGGCCTGAACATGATGGTGCCACATGGCCACATAATGCTTTGCAATGGTCTGGCTGTCGGTGGGTAGAGGGAGGGAAGGACAGACAGGTCAGTGAGAGGAGGGTGGGATGGACAGGAAAGTCAGTAGGTGGAGGGAGGGCAGGACCGGCAGTCAGTGGGTAGGGGGAGGCAAGGATAGGCGGGTCGGTGGGTGGAGGGGGGATGGACAGGCGGGTCAGTGAGAGTAGGGAGAATCTATAGATTGCTGCTATCTGAAGTTTGCAGACCCCTATCAGGGAAAGCGGAGGTTGGGCAGGTGGGGCTAGAGAACTAGGTGGTTGCAGTGAGCTCTGGAGGTCTGAGGCTGACTTCTGGTGACTTTTCCAAGCCCCAGTGTCTCTGGGGCTGTGGATTTATTTCCTCCCTGTGAGCATCATTACTGGCCAGTCCACACCATGCCAGAGATCACCCTCTCAGTACCACCCCAGACATCCTGCCCCAGGGCATGGGCCTCCTGAGGGCTCCCCATCCCTGCCAAGCTGGACCCCAGAGCCCAGCAAAGATCTTAGGCCTGGGTCTTAGTTCCTCGGGTTCCCTAGCTCTGTTGACCCCAGCCCCATTCACTCCCGGCTCCTCCTGCCTGCCAGGTCCCTGCAATCTCCCTGGCCTACGAAGCTGCAGAAAGCGACATCATGAAGAGGCAGCCGCGGAACCCCAAGACGGACAAGCTGGTGAACGAACGGCTCATCAGCATGGCCTACGGGCAGATCGGTGAGTGGGGCAGTGGGTGCTGTCTATTCAGCTTGGGGCTGCACCCTGGACTGACAGCCTCATCCCAGGGGCTGCAGGAAGCCATGTTAGGGGTTCAACCCCCTTCCCGAGTAGTGTGGAACCCAGTACCCCAGCCTGGCAGCAGGGGGCGCTGTCTGCAGGGAACAGAGGGATCAGCAGTGAGCAATACCCCAGCGTGGCACCAGGGGGCGCTGTGCTGCAGGGAACAGACGGGTTAGCAATGAGCAGTACCCCAATGTGGCACCAGGGGGCGTTGTGCTGCAGGGAACAGAGGGTTAGCAATGAGCAGTACCCCAGTGTGGCACCAGGGGGTGCTGTGCTGCAGGGAACAGACGGGTTAGGAATGAGCAGTACCCCAGCGTGGCACCAGGGGGCGCTGCACTGCTGGAGGTGGCAGAGTCCAGGTGAAATGCTCGCTGCTGGCACCTGTCCCACTCACCCCTGCTGGGGTGACTCCCTGAAGCACAGAGGGTCCCCTCGGGGGGAGGGCCCTGTCCTTGCAGCAGACCCGGGCTATGGCCCGTCAGCTGAGCCAGGCCCTGGTTGGGAGGGAACGGGCAGTGCTGACAGGCCGTGTGAATGGCCGGGTGCTGGGCAGGTCCGTAGAGAGCAACATGCCAGGCTGGTGCTGTGCAACCAGGAAGGAAAGCGCATTTATGGGTCTCTGCTCCTCTCTCTCTCTCTGCTGCCCTCTCTCACCTACCCCCACAATCGCCCCGTCCAGGTATGATCCAGGCCCTGGGTGGGTTCTTCACCTACTTTGTGATCTTGGCGGAGAACGGGTTCCTGCCGTCCACCCTGCTGGGCATCCGCCTGGACTGGGACGACCGCTCCAAAAACGACCTGGAGGACAGCTACGGGCAGGAGTGGGTGAGTGCGACCCTGAGGTGGGGGCAGAGGGAGCAAGGTCCCACTTCTCCTGCTACAGCGTTCGCGGAGCTCCCGACGGCACCCTGACCGCTCGGGGGGCGCTTGGCCCCACAGGAGCTCAACTGTGGCGTGAGGCGCCGGGGGTCTGGCTGCACAAGGGAGCTGGCCTGGCGCTGGCTGCCCTCCCTCGCGCCCAGCGTCCGTGCCTCTCCCCACAGACCTACGAGCAGCGCAAGGTGGTGGAGTTCACGTGCCACACAGCCTTCTTCGCCAGCATCGTGGTGGTGCAGTGGGCCGACCTCATCATCTGCAAGACCCGGAGGAACTCGGTCTTCCAGCAGGGCATGAAGTGAGTCCCAGCTCCCAGCCCTGCACCCTCCTGCTCACGGGCCCTGCAGGACTTTTGTCCCCCTGTGCTGACGGGGACGGGCTTGGCCATGCTGTGGGGACAGGCGGTGGGGGGACGACTCTCTCCTCTGACCCAGAACTGGGCCCAGAGCCCAAGAGGTATGTGGGACTCAGTAGGGGGCTTCTTGCTCACAGGTCGTGTTGGCCTCATTGTGGCACTAGGGGGCGCGGTGCTACTGGCCCATCCCTTGCTCAGAGGAGCCATAAGCCCACAGCTCTGCTCCGGCCTCCCAGCTGGCCAAATTCCCGATCTCAGCTGGCTTTGCCCATAGGGTGGCCAGACGGTTTCAACAAAAATACTGGATGCACTTGCCATTACATCACAACCTACAGTACATCTTGTTTAGAAAATACCGGACATTTCTATTTTCTCATTTCTATTTTCTCAATTTGTTTCCTGAACAGAAAGCTCAAATACTGGACTGTCCGGTTCAAAACTGGACACCTGGCAACCCTATTTGCCCAGCCGCCCTCAGCTCACATCCAGCCCTCCACAATACCTTTCCCCCAAAGCCTTGTCCCTGAGACTCCTAGGACCTCCTCTTGGGCTGCTGCTGGCTGGGCCAAGCTCTCTGCCCCCACCCCCCATTCCTGTGTGTTGTTGATCTGTCCTCCAGGAACAAAATTCTGATTTTTGGCCTCCTCGAAGAGACGGCCCTGGCTGCCTTCCTGTCCTACTGCCCTGGCATGGGGGTGGCACTCCGGATGTACCCGCTCAAGTGAGTGACACACAGCAGGGGTGCAGGGCTCCAAAGGGCCCAGACCACAGGGAGCTGCTGCCCCCCTTGTGAGGTGATGGGCCCCTGCTTCTGCCTGGCTTCCCTCCCCTGTACAGTCATCAAGTAGCACAGTCCAGCACCCCCGGCAGGGACCCCGGGCAACCTGGTCCCTAGTGCTCCCCGGCAGGGTCCCCTGGGCAACGCAGTCCCTAGTGCTCTCCCAGCAGGGTTCCCTGGGCAACGCAGTCCCTAGTGCTCCTCTCAGGCAGGGTCCCCTAGGCAACGCAGTCCCTAGTGCTCCCCTCCCCCAGCAGGGTCTCCTAGGCAGTGAGGTCCCTGTGCTCCCCGCGTCCTGCAGCACAGCCCCTGACACTCCCCTTGTCCCCCTGCAGGGTCACCTGGTGGTTCTGCGCCTTCCCCTACAGCCTGCTGATCTTTGTGTACGACGAAGTGCGGAAGCTGATCCTGCGGCGTTATCCTGGTGGTGAGCTCCTGCCTGCGCAGTGCCAGGGCTCCCCTCGCCCCTCCCACAGTGCCATCCATTCCCACCTATGCAGTGCCACACGCCCCCGCCCTCATCTGGGCTCTGCCACATACCCCTGCAGTGCCACCCATTTCCACCCACAGTGCCACCCGCTCCCATCCATGCAGTGCCGCCCGCTCCCACGCACACAGTGCCACCCGCTCCCATCCATGCAGTGTCACCCGCTCCCACGCACACAGTGCCACCCGCTCCCATCCATGCAGTGTCACCCGCTCCCACGCACACAGTGCCACCCGCTCCCATCCATGCAGTGTCACCCGCTCCCACGCACACAGTGCCACCCGCTCCCATCCATGCAGTGTCACCCGCTCCCACGCACACAGTGCCACCCGCTCCCATCCATGCAGTGTCACCCGCTCCCAAGCACACAGTGCCATCCGCTCCCATCCGTGCAGTGTCACCCACTCCCATGCAGACAGTGTCACCCGCTCCCACGCACACAGTGCCATCCGCTCCCATCCATGCAGTGTCACCCGCTCCCACGCACACAGTGCCACCTGCTCCCATCCATGCAGTGTCACCCGCTCCCAAGCACACAGCGCCGCCCGCTCCCACGCACACAGTGCCGCCCGCTCCCATCCATGCAGTGTCACCCGCTCCCAAGCACACAGTGCCACCCGCCCCCAGCCACTCCGGGTCGCCCACACCC